TATATCTGTTTCTAATTAATTGTTATTGTTTTATTGCCCTTTGAAAAGCACTGTAAAGTGTGAAGTACTTAACTAAGACAATGTTAGTAGTATAGATAATAAATTACAGACAAGACTGTCAAACTTTGTAACAAAACCATTGGTAAAACTTCTATATCTAGTTATGTATCATATCAGCACTAATACTTACACACAAAATAACAAATAATAAGAAAACAGGATACTGCCATTAGATTGTTTGTTTGTAGTTAAGCACAAAGCTATACAAAGGGCTATCTGTGCTCTGCCCACATGAGTATCAAAACCTGGTTTCTAATGGTATAATTCTGCAGACATACCACTGTGCCACTGAGAGCGACTGCCATAAGATTCTAGGTTTTCGTATGTATATACAAGTCAGATGCACACATTCTACTTTGTCAGGTCATTCACAGATAATATAGTAGACACAAAAATACCACAGCAAATGGCTATTTATTGAAAACAGTCTAAAAGTTTATTTTAGTATTAATAATGGGTTAATTAAAAATCTAGGTTATAAAGTAAACTCCACAAACTTTTCCCACTCCTGATCATAGTGACAGTTAGAATTCACACTGCATGAGCTCTGAAATCATTAACTTGACCATTCAGACCTCAAAAAATATCAATGAATTCAAATTCCTTGATGTCATACTTCATAGAGATCACTACGATTCCTATTACTAAGCAGTTATGAGCTTTGTATTCAATACAAATACATGTACAAGACATACCAGTACTTTGACAATTTTCATGGACGAGGAAATTATGGAAAATCCTGAGTGAAGAATTAAAAGTTTTATGAAGCTAAATGCATTTTTTCAAGCAATTATGAAAATCAAACATGAAGAGGCATAATCTTAACAAATACTTGTGCTTTTATAAAAATATATGTCATTCATTTTGCATCTCACGTGACTTGTCAAGGTAAAAAAAGATGGCAGATGAATGTGAATTAGTAAAGAACATGATAGCAAGATCTGACATGTTGAGTAATTTGAGGTTAAAGGAAAAGAAACCTGAAGGTGTAATTGAGGATAACGTGGTAGTTTGTCACAGTTTTGATGCAGTTGTGAAATGTTCTGGCAGCACATATTCGTAGACACCATCCACTGTTGATGAAAATGAATGGAACATTATCATGTAAAAACAGTAAAGTTCAACCTTCAGCCAAGGGGTATTGTAATAGTACCATTGTTGCTATAAGCTTTGACAAACAAAACTGGAACCCAGCAACCTAATAGACAATCATTGGTATGTTTGGGAATGTGAACATACAAGTCAACTTCACAGAGAGCAAATGATATCACAAGTATAATGACTAGATTCATAGTAAAGGATCTCAGGTCGTATCACATTGTTGGAAGTAAAGAGTTTTGGGAGCTTGTCATCACACTAGATCCTAAATATACATTACCTTCAAACAAAGCAGTTTTCAGAAGTAATAGCTCCAAAGCTCTACCAGCAAGGTAAGTCAAAAGTCTTGGAAAGCCTTAAGGCAGCCCATCAAGCATATTTCAACGATATAATTTATCTAATTTACAGTGGCATAGAATTTAAGAAAGTTTAAGAAACTATATAAAATTTAAAAAAATAAACATGAAAATAAGTACCTAGTAAATAGCATTCATGTGTTATTAATAAGATATTTTATTATTATGTTAAAAATTATGCCTATTTCAATATTTTGATGGTATACCTTATAAGATCAGTTTGATAATTCAATGCTTTATATTTAAATGTCCATTGTTTTTAAAGATTGCACTGATAAATGATGGGTGGACATCAATGTCAACAGAAATGTACATCATTATTACAGATAGTTTCACAGATGTAAGATAGGAATTACTAAAATTTTGTACTTCAAACACACCCACTCCCAGAATATCATACAGGTAATACTCATAAATACTTAACACAGTTCAGTAACCAATTTAACAAGTTTGTTAAAGAAAAGTCAATGGTGATTACTGACTGGAAAAAGTTTTTTTTAAAGATAAACTAAATAGTAAAAACATTAAAAAATGATCATCACAGGCAAGAATACACCCTATCAAGTTTAAACTTTACTCAAATCAATTTACCTCTCAAAATTTTTCTGGCTTTCTAACTATGCGACAAGAGTTGGTACTCTTGAGTGAAATTGACATTTAACCATTCAGACCATAACGTTATACAATACGTCATTTGATAGATGAGCCCGACTAAGATATGTGAATCATAAAAAAAATACCCAGACAGATGATACATTGTGTTGGAGTGAGAATTGATAACTCAGCTCTGTTAATGAGGCCTGCCTTGGTTGTTTCTAAAAAAAGAATCCAGGTGTGATGTTCTGCCAATTGATGACATGATGCCAGCAATAACCAGACTCCCATGGAATGGTGTGTGTGCACAGGCCTAGAGAAAGGAGGTAACTAGAAAACAACTTGTATGATTCGGTAGAACACATATGGTGCTGATGCTAGTCCAAAGGTCAGAGCCCTGAACAGTAGCACCTGATCCTTGTGCACAAAATGTCTATAGTGGGACACCACATCCACAATCCTAGTAAAAAAATGCCAACTCAGAGTGAGAAATGATTAACTTCTGAACCTTAGAGGATCTAGGAAATTGATATAGACGAGAAAAATCTGGAAGCAAATCTCCTGTCTTCTTGAGCCCAACAAACAATAAAACCTCAGGAGAACTGGTAGGACTCTCTCTCTGTCTCCAGACCAACAAACTCTGATAGCCCCAGAACAAAGTTTTGAAATCCAATGATTTGTGGGAGGTGGAAACACTACAGGTTGGCTGGATAATGGTGGTGAAGATATGAACTGAAAGATTAACCCTGACTCAAGGAACTGTAGTATCCATGGATCCATGGTTAAGGTTTACCACATATCCAAGAATGCTTGGAGCCAAGTCCCAACAGACCCCAAAGGAATACAATAGTCATTGACTGCTGAGTGGCAGAACCTTTGAATATGGACAGAATCTATTTTGGGTATCAATGGACCAAGGGGCTGATGTCAGAGGTCTGGACCCTCAAATAGGGGTGGAACTATGACTCCCTGTAGGAGATGAGAAAAGTTGAGACGCTAACGACAACAGGGATGAATGTAGAAGCTGACAATCGAACCAATGTACATACTAACAATGGTCCCAGCTCGTCATCAATAGACGTGGTAATCCTGAGTCTTCCAACAAAGTTTAGAGGGATAATAAATAACTCCGCACCATATATAGGGTGAGACAAATCCTAGAAAGTTATGATCTATTCAGATTAACTACAGAACCTACTCTAGAATCCCAAATTTCTAGGAGCAGCTGTATTCTTTGAGAGTCAGATTATGCTTCTACCTGGCAGTAGTAGCATGAATCACACAGTTTGACAACCGTGGCAGACAAGGCATGCTTGTTTCTATGTAACTGAGCAGTAATCCTCCCTGCTTGAACTACAATATCAGTGGATGGAAGGAGAACTAAGTTTTCATTCCCAGACCTTTCATCCATCAAAGAGAGTGCAGGCTCAAAAGCAACAGGTGAAAAACCTAAAACATAACACACTCGATGGATCAACTGAAGAAAAGGAGCCCAAGACAGCTGATCCCAAAGTGGTCTCCTGAGAAACCAAAAGAATGAAGGAAGATGCAGGAAAAAGTGAATCTAAATTCTCTTCAGAATGTCCAGGATTGCCCTCAACTGCAGCCTCAGAGCCCCCTGCAGGAACACCATTGAACTGAATATATATGTCTCCATCTCACTATGAATAAGATCACTGACAATCTCAAGTGAGAGTGACTCCCCCCCCCCCAGACCGTGGGAAATAATAATCCAAGATTTCTTGCCATGAACCCACTTGCCACATGAAAAAAAATATATATATTTTATGAAAATCAACCAGGTAACACGAAGAGTTCTCAAATATCTCTAACGATCATAGTACAGAGAAAACCACTAGTGAACGATTTATCGAGAAAAGTGATAATATTATCTGAATGAGGTGCTTATATACAGTACCAGGACAGAGGGTGCATTGACATAGGTGGAGAACATCACATGACAGATATCACCAAGGTCAAATTAGGTGGTGAATAATAAACTGGAGCAAGCAAGAAAAATTCAAACCAATGGTTAGATGGGTAGAGGAAGGAAACCCTGGAGGTAAGCATGTTTTGGAATTAATAAACTATTTGTTGCAGTAAAGTATTTAATGAGTATTATTGAAAGTTTAATCGAAGAACAGTTGCCTGCTCAGACTGAAGAATTTGGCAATTTTAACAGCAAAGTTTTCAAAGGTACTTTTGGTAACCTTGATATAGCCAAGTATCTTAATGATTTAAATTAAAGTGGTTTATTATTGAATCTCAGTCTCCAAGTCAATTCATCAGTTTAACTGTAAACTTCCTCAAGCTAATAACTTATGTTATACACTTGTGACTGTAAACCTAGATTTAAAATAATCTATTTGTCACTAGATTTAAAGTCAAACTCCAACGACTAGCCTACACAGCCTTCCATTACAATTGAAATATTTGAAAACCAAGAGATTGATATGCTTCTTTTTTTTTAACCAACCTCTGATTTCTAACCACAATGGACAAATTAAAAGGAATATGGAAAATGTATCTATCTGCCTTTAACTTGTTTTATGATAATTTTTAAGTTTATTGGTTTTTCAGTATTTTCCTGACTTTCAGCATTTAACTCTTAAGTTTTGTTTACATATATAAATATTCTTCATCAAATCTCTTATTTTTCATCATCCAGCCCAACAGAACAAGTTCTGGTACTGAATGAAAATTTTATTGGGCAGTGACAAGTGGGAGACAAAAAACACATCTGAAATGCTATTTTATTTTTACATACCTTTGATTTTGAGCTGCAATGAACAAATTAAGAGAAATGTGAAAAAAAAAGACACCTGCAACTAACTTGTTTTTGTAATGATTTTTAGTAAATGATTTATCCAAGAAAGAAAGGCACCACTTTACATAATCACTCAGAAATATCTGGATATAGGCCTGTGTATTCAAAACTATAGTGTGAAATACAAATTTGACATTTGCCATGGTTTGTTACGGCAATCCACTAGCTTCAATCGTAACTAAAACTACAAATAAGGCAATGTGAGGTGATTGTATTATTAAATATTCTACTTATTTATCAGGAGTTTTTTGTATAAAATCTTAATCTTGCTATATTTCACAAGGAAAATTAAGTAATAAAAAGAAAAAAATTCATAATATTTTTCTCATGATATTCTTCTTGCTGTCTCTAATGTGGAGGACAGAATGCACGGCAACACGAACCTCTAATAATAATAATATCAAAACAACTTACAGATGTGCTTATTTTAGTTCATTTCATCTAACTTTAACAACATGAAAAATAATTCAACAAAAGTGGCAAAAAGTAGCCAACTGTTAAAAAGATAAATTTTTTATTCATTAAAAACCAATTCAAATCTCATAAATTCTAGTTACAGGTGGTTTGCCTTAAACCTTCATCAAGAGGGTAGTCTTCAAAAAATAACAACAGGTCAAATTCCTATTGAAGACAATTATGATTAGTCTTAACTGTACTAGTACTACATTATATAAATCTTAAGTTATTACATTGAAAAAATATAACATAATCAATGGACAACAAGGGACCATCTGGTCCTTCATGGCTATCACCCTGCCTTTGAAAAAGTAAGATAATTACCCATTATTTGCTTTCCAAGAAAACATCATTTCCTCTCTTAAAATACTTTAAAGTGCTGGCCTTCCATTACTGCCAACAGTAAGTCATTCCATAAGCCAATCACCTCATTACAAAAATAAAATTGTCATAACTGTAACTTAGCTATTTAAAGAAAAGTGCAATAACATAATTATGTCAGGGATACTGCTAAGACTTACTTGAAAGGGGATGAGGTTACAAGGAGGTCGCTACTTAGGGCTAAAAGCTATGCTTAGGTTAATATATAAGGAAAAGCAGACTGGCTGGTTAGACTTGTGGGATCAGTTCAATAAGGAAAAGCTTTTCTGAATGGATGGGTTACATTTAAACAGAGTAGGAGCTAGCTTACTTGCAAGAGCTAATAACTTGCTTTAAGAATAGCTTGATTCTAGGACTAGACAGTGGTGAAGGCCAGGAAATTAAATACAGAAAATGTGCAAAAAAACAACAAGTACAGAAGCAGTTTTAAGAGTAGGCTTAATTATTAAAACTGTAATTTTAGAAGTATAACAAATAGATTACTTTAGAGCAGTAGTCGGAATAGAGGATTTTGATATAAGGAGAATAACTGAAACATGGTTCAATGTTGACAATTTTAATGATACAACGAGGAGGAAGAGTGGCTTTATATGTAAAATGTGAGTCATATCTTATTAAAGTTTAGGATATTAAAGATAATAGCAAGGAGATTGAATTTATTTGGGTTTATTAATTTCTAATAAAGAAATTGTTAAGAGGATGAAGATTGGGGAATGTGTGTGAAAGTGGTCATTGTTCCATTACATTTGATGTTTTACTGCATATAGATATCAAGAATAATGAGATTTTGGTAACAAATTTTATTAGCTCACAAAGAGTACAAGGGATGAAATTCAAGAAAGTATTATAAATTTAAGAAGTTTATACTGACTGTTATAATGGGAGACTTGGAGTATTAAAGAAGGTCAGAGAGAATTGGTCAAATAGGACATTAGAAAATTGAAAAGGGTATATGAAAAAAAATTGACTAAAATGCAAAAATTATCAGAAAGGATTATTTTAAACATTAAGAGCAGGATTAGAAATAAAATTTTATACAAGGAGCAAATGGCTCCTAGACTAAACATTTTGGAAACCAAATCCAGTTGTTTGGTGCCAGTTTAACAGCAAATTATCTGTCTCCAAATTCAGCTCCTTCAGAATACAAGAAAACAAAATTATATAAAAACAAAAAATGTTTGTACTCACTTTGTTTCCTGTGCTGCCTCATTCTTTCTCAATACAGTCTGACTCTGACTTAGTCTGCCTTTCTTGTTCTCTGGGTTATCTGCTGTTCTGCCAATACATCTGTCCTTCTTCTTCATGCTGTTGTTCTTAATCTTTAATGCTTTAAAAGTGAATTCCTTACTTTTGCTTTTTGATAATGTTTCCTAACTCAGTACTCCAAATTAGTTGGAACTTGGCCTTGACTTAAGCCTGGGAACTATATGCAACTATGAAATCTTTCTTATTCATTAGTCTTAGCCAGTGTCACCAACAGTTAAGATGTCTACATCACCTGGCCAGGAAGTGTAGTTTGGTCTTCAACTCCTTTTATTCAACCAAAGCCAGCACTTAACACAAGGCTCTGGGTCAAATAGTTCATGTGAAGGGTCCGCTCTACTGATTCTTACAAGATCTTCAACCATAACCAAGTTAAGTGAGTTGCGTAGCTTGGATGTAATTGTTTTGTGCAGAAAATCCCCATTCAAATTGGGCAGCTCATATCAGCAACACAAGTATCTAGAAGATTTTTGATATCTGTGCAAGACAGCTCTTTTGTTAGTATGACCTCCCATAAATCACCATAAAATTTATTCGTAAACTGACCTTTGACCAAAGTTTTAAGTATTCTGCTTGAACTGCATCAACATTGAATACATTCTTTTCTAAAAGGTCACTGTAAAATTCAGTAAGATTTCTAACTGCTCATCTCCAAAGCTAACAAGACCATCAAGCCATGCATAATGGCAACAAATTTTCAAACACTTTATCACACTGGGTTCTTATGAAACCTTTTATTCTGTGAAAATCTCAAATATTTTGCCACATATGGACACAGGCCCCACCCCTACCTTGACTGTTTTTCAGTCTAAGTCTAAGTTATTTTGGAAAAGCTACTGCTAGAGGCTCTGCCCCTCTTGCTTTCTAAACAATCCTGCTATTATGCACCTGCCTGGGGTTTAGAATTCACATGTTCCAAAAATTTCTCTAGTTTGTCATTTTTAATGGCTTTTCATTCAGATTTTTATTGTCAAAACAAAGTTCTCAATGGCTGCAAAACAATTCTTCTAGAATGTAAGGCTAAACTTTGACACCTCTGAAAAGATATGTCAAAAATGACAAAACCCTACAAAATCAAGTTTTTCTACTTCCTGGACAGCATGCTTTGCTCTTCCCTTAACATCTGTGTTTCTGGAAAACATTCATGTGAAGAGGCACAGCAGTATACTATCCCTATCCAACAGCAAGATTATCATAATTTAACTGAAGAAAAAGAAAACAATGCCCAATAAATAGCCAAAGGTGTCCTAATTGTGCAGCTTAACTCAGCTCCAAAGGCTTTCAAATTGCATTTACTTTTTGAGCTGAAGTGGTAGGTTTTCCACACCAACTACAAATCACACACTTTCTCACTCATTGGAACTAATCCTTGGGCACTTGACATTGCCAATTCAAGCTTATATGGCAAGCAATGAAATTACATAATATGCTGTCCAATCTCACTTTCCAAGAGAGCACCTACCCTCCTGTAACTCCCATACTAACACTGGCACCATTTGCTCTACTTCCAGAAATAAAATAATGTTTCCCTGCAACAGCTGGCCTTGCCTTTATGCAAAACTAGCAATATAATTTCTGTTTTTCATCATTGTAACATAACCAGTCTTAAACTGTCATACAAGTTAGTTTGGCAGTGGTTTTTCCTCGTCTGAACAGAGGCTGTTGCACAATTACCTGTAAATTATCTTCAAAATCTATTGACTTGGAAGACAGAGTCTGTATCTACAGCTGATGCATATACAGCAGTACATGTGCTATATGCTGGAGATAAACTAGAGAAAAAAAATTGATATTTTTTTCTTTTTGACATAATTTTTAATAATCTTTATTAGAGTACACCATTACCAGCAAATTATACATTGGTCTATTGAAGACAGACAATTCATTCATTCTTTCAACACGGTTGGGCCAAATTTTAAATTTCCTGCTGCTGCTTTTTTCTTATTGATCAAGACCCTCTAAAATTTTTTACAGCATTTGAGGTGCATTTTGAATGAAACGTGTAAAACAAATACATTCCAAGTTACATTTAGCTAACAGGGTGGCTGCTCTTTGCAATTGGGATATTTCAGGTGTGGTGAATGCAGTAAACCTAAACAAGTTTATGGGAAAGTGTGAAATATTTGAAGGATAAGAGCTGGTTTTGAGTTTTTAAGTTTAGTTTAATGGATGAGACAGCCTTAATTGACCAATACATTCCTTGTTGTCCTTAAATGTATTAGACTTGTGTCCCCTCATTCTTTTATCTTCAGAATATAGCACAAAGAAAATAAGTTAAGATCTTAAACCTATCCCTTCCTTCCTCTACTTAACCATTTCCAATAAGTCGATACCCTTTCTTAGACAAGGAAAATCAAAATTGTACAGAGTATTTCAAGTGAGCCTAACTAATAATTTGTATAGCAATTATTACCTCTTTTGACTTTTAATCAGTAAGTCTATAAGTACACTCTAAAATTTTAAGTTTTTACAAGAAGCAACAGAACACTACTTTGATGGTGAGTGACTTATCCACCATTGTGCCGAGATCCATTTCTTCAGTCAATCCATTGAGTTTTTTTCCATTTATATGTATGACCCAAATTATGAAAATCCAAAAGCACTACCTTGCGTTTGCTAAAATACTTGTTCAACCTACCAATTGATCCAAGTTATTCTGTAATACCTCAATTTAAACACTGAAGATTTAAGATTATAAACAGACTTTTTCTCTACATTAAAATACTTTTATTGTGAGCTTTTGTCGCTCTTACTGGAGCCTTCATCAGGCAACAATGCACACAGTGAAAAAATTCATTAAACTGTGGAACACTGCTTTAAAATATGTATCTAGGCAAGAGTCATAACAATAATTGACATTGAACAATTAACTGAAGAATTAAATATCATCAGCAAACTTTACTAATTTACTCATTATTTTCCTATCACTATCATTAATGCAAGAAAGAGCAAAGGCCCATAAACAAATTTCTGATGTACTCCACTGGTAACAAGGGCCCAGTTTAACTGAACTCCATTAATAAAACCTTTGGCTTCCTTCCAATCACCCTATAGTCCAATTAATTAGCCTTTCCAAACTTTTGCTGATGTAATTTTCTAAGCTAAGTAAGAAGAATTTATTTATATTAAGAATCAAAATTACTGTTTCTATTATTATTTAGTAGCTGCTGAGAATTTAGTCCATTAGTAAATTACTTATGTGTAACTAGGGATATGGTGTACATTATAATATTGTAGCTGTCGTACTATTAAATAATATCAGTATGCATTAGTGAATAGAGAATTTCAGTGTTAGATTTATCCTCAATTTAATCTATAAGCTTTGAAAGAGCTTAATTTTAGTTAAGTGTACAAGAGTACATTTGTAACATAAAATAAAAAATGGTAAAACTTCAACATGGTTAGAGATGGTTCAGAAATAAGTGAGGTGGAATTTATAGAACATGACAGATGCCAAGTATGGGTTTATATTTGGGCTTAAATGCAACTTTAAGGAAGCTTGGAAAATATAATACACCACACTTAGAGATAGCTCTAGGGAAAGTTTCATTACTGAACTATTAAGGGGGGGGGGGATAGCAGAAATAAAACATACAGTAAAATGTAATAATCCTCAGATCTGTATATTATAGTCACTACAGATTAAAAATCTTGTCAGAAAACAAAATTTTAGTAGCTTTCAAAAAGAAAAAAATTCACATAAAAAAATTTTCAGTAATGAAAATAACACGTTTCCTTATATTAATACTATATAAAATCATTATATAGGGACCAGCACTTAAGTTGTGTTCAAAGGTTTGTTTGCTAACCAGAAATTCAAGGATAGTTCAAACATATTAAGGTGGAACATAAAGCATTCAAGTAATGTTAGAAATTTTTACTATTGTCATCAAAACCACTTAATGTTTGAATAGTATTCAAAAATTGAATGTCACTCATATGAAAAATTGGATCTTTTGACTTGCATAATGCCCATTACTTAACCAAAAGTTATGTTAAAAAACCCAGACATACCACCAAAATGTTATGTATAACAGTACCCTTTATGCATTGTAGTAGACTGTAGTTGTAAAGCACAAAAGAATATGTTACTGGCTGCATTGTTTCAATAAAATGCACTGAATGCTTACTCTACTAGACATAAGAGAAGTGTTTTTTTAAACAATAGATTCTTTTAACAGCTGCATTGTCTCTTCTTTAGCTTTTGTTATAGTGTATGGTTGGTATTAATTTTCTAAGTAAAGTGTTACTTTTACCCTGTTCTGTTTTGCTGTTTATTCATTCATTTTGCTGATGCTTTTATCCAAGTCATACATTTATTTTATCAACAGTGTTGTTAAATTGTGACTGATAATAACACAGTATTGTAACTTTTTGTGATAGTTGGAGGTTTATATTTGTTTTTGTTTCTTTTATCAAACTGTTAATGTTACCCTGTTATGTTTTACTCTTTATTTATTATGTTTAACTATGTTTAATTAATCTACAATTTGAAGTTAAAAAGACTATGCCTGTTTACCTGCTTGAAAAGGTGATTGTTAAATTAAGATTTATTTAAGTCAGCTAGAGTTCTTTTAATTGGCTACAGTAGGATGTTCTTGCAATGCAAGTTAACTGAGTATGTAACTGTATGAGTATCACACATACCATTAAATACACTTACATACACACTGCAGTTTTTTTATTATTTAGAATATAAAAACATGATTGCTGTTCTATGTAGTATATTTTTAGACTATATGTGAATGTTTTATTTCATTTATATATGGATTACCTGTAAAATAAAAGGTTATAACATCAATTATAAACATAGTTATAGTGATGCCATCCGTAAATTATGCAAATTAGTACTATCAAAGATTTGAAGGTAAAAACTACCATTTGTTACAGCCCTACTAGCTCCCTAAAATATATTATGGTAGGCCAATATATGTTATTTTTCACATTCACAGTGAAAACTTAATAATAAGGCTACCATATAAATAACATTTTAAAAATAGTTCTGGCGATGTACTTTATCCTGAACATTCTTAATAAACATATGTTGCTGAGTATGTAGCCTATCAACTAAATAACTGGTGCCTGCTACTTAGCTTATACTTGAAAAAGCCATCAGTGACTATCTAGCCACTATAATTTATAAAGCCGCCCCCCCCCCAAAAAAAAAGTCAGTAAACAGACCTTTAATCATCAGGCTTCTAAAGATCAAAAGTTAAACCTATCCTTGTTCTTAATAATAATAATATTCATGTTTCTATATTCTACCTTTACATTTCATCACTCAAACAGGTAATTCGTAGCACAAGAACTTGAAGAAGGCTATACTGTATAACCCTTAAAAATTAAAATAAATTAACATGAACTAGTTAGACTTTAAATGTGTTGCACTTGTAAAGTTGTGCTTGTGAACCAATAGTAATAGTACTACTTTCAGTACAGACAATTTCAACTTGTTCAAGTTAAAACAAGTTGAACTTGGAAAATATTTGGTTTTAAAGTTGAAAAACGCTATATTATACATACTTAAATATAATTGATAATAGTACTACCACTGCTACAGAATAATACATACAATAATATTATTTAATAATATCAAATAATTAAATATAACTGAAGTTGTGATGTGAACTTTAGCTTAGCTTTAAATCTAAGTGCAAATTACATGAATTATGTTTATCATAAATTAGTTACATTCTTCGTTCTTACAAGTTACAGTTCCAACTACAAGTTCGACTTACAACAGTACAACTTGCAAGTTACAATGTTGATTGATGGTGTTACGTAAGTTATTGTTAAATTAAAAACATATGATACTGAAAAAATACTCAAGTACAAAATAGATATTTTACAATAAACAGATGGATAAATAAGCATAAAACTATCACAAGTAAAAATTATATACGCATACCTGGAAAGGCTGCTGGAAAAACAAAAGTCGGTGTACAAACAACATGCTCAGGAGTAGAAGCCATTTTTACCTTCTAATTAGACTGCCACCTAATTTTGCGCGAAGAAGCACTTTGCAAAGTTAATTTGACATTTCGAGTTTATATGGACCATTCGTAAACAAACCTTTATATATTTATATAAGATTTCGTTAGGGTTTACAGCATATATTTCTAGAGAGTTTTTATAAATATGGAGAACTACATATCAGAAATGGTATTAGGAAGAACTTGCACATTTAATAGTTCATTTGATTTGCTCTAGTATGTTAAATACATAAATATTTTGTTATATAAGTTTCATAGCCTGGAAAGAAAAGTATTTATTTGGTTATTTTCAAAAGACGAACCCCTGGTGAGTCAGCAATAAGTATGAGGGCTTATAACATTAAAAAATTGGGTTTCGATACACGCAAAAGGCAGAGCACAGATAGCCCAACATGTAGCATTGTGTTTAACAACAAACAAATAAAAGCTTCAATAAATCTAAAACACTTGGCCTTCTTTTTATAAGTTTTCTCAGAGTATTTAGCGTAAACCCGGATTTTAAAATAATATATTTGAAGGAGAAAATTATCACTGTTAAAAAAAAAAGATGATAAACGCTGATGAACTGGGCTAATTTGCAAAAAAGCCGCTGATAATGAAAATGATAATTTTTATTTGTCATAAGATAATAGTATTATACTTACTATATTTTTAAGCACTATATTATATTGTTACGACATCGAAGTCACGTGACTAGTATCACGCCACGTCATCCTCGAACTTTCACGTCTTTTCCTTAAATCTCGTGATCTGTCTAAATATAGTGTAGTCTTGTATATATAAGACCGGCCACGAAGCGACGGGGAGGTAATGAGTAATTGAATGTATGCGGATAAAATATTGTTGGCCACGTGAGACGTGAGTTATAGCGTTGTTATAGCGCGACTGTTGAAATTAAGTGTATCGCAAAGTTATATTCAGAAAGAATAAGTCAGTTTTTATTTAAGAAAGGACTTGTGTCGCTAAAGTTTCGTCGGAACGAATTTACGGAAAATTAACGAACGAACGGAGACGTAACAAATTGGTGTCAGAGCGTGGGATAAAAAAAAAATGGAAACGAGAAGCGGTAAATCAAACTACAGCCTAGCAGACTTGATGGCAGCAATACAAGAACAGCAAAAGAAACAAGAAGAACGAGAAAATAAACAAGAAAAGAAACAAGAAGAACGAGAAGAGAAATTACAACAGTTGTTAGAGGAAAAAGAAAAGAAGCAAGGAGAGAGACAACTGCAGTTCAAAGGAAACCTGCAACAGTGGCAGCTCGAACAAC